GCATGTATTTATGACAATGGGAATGTATTCTTATCCTGAACAGAGTAATCTCTCTCCATTTATTTAGGTTTTTTAGTTTCACTTTATGAAGAATATAAAAACTTACTTGATTAAGGTCTTATACATGTTTTGTTAGATTTATTTTAGAAGTTTCCTTAGAAGTTAGAAATCTTAAAAATTATTTTTCCTAATCATGCTGGTATGTTGAAATGCATTTGATTTTTCTATATGATAAATTCAGCAATCTTGCTAAACTCTCATTATTTCCAGTAATATATTTGTAAATATTACGTATTATCTACGTAATTCATGGAGAATGGAGTTTTTGCTTTTTTCCACGTCAGATTTTATATTTTTTATTTGTTTGCGGTACGCGGGCCTCTCACTGTTGTGGCCTCTCCCGTTGCGGAGCACAGGCTCCTGACGCGCAGGCTCAGTGGCCATGGCTCACGGGCCCAGCCGCTCCGCGGCATGTGGGATCTTCCCAGACTGGGGCATGAACCCGTGTCCCCTGCATCGGCAGGCGGACTCTCAACCACTGTGCCACCAGGGAAGCCCCTCTTTCTTTTTAAAATAAGTATCTGTCGCTGGATTTGATTTCCTAATAATTTGCATGGGATTTTGGTATCTAAGTTTATGAGCAAGATTGGTCTATAATTTTCTGGTCACAAATGCCGTTGTCTGGTTTTGGCATACTGGTCTCACCCTTTCTCCTCACCGTGTTTTCTGGAAGAGTTCACATAACATTAAGGTGTTTAAAAGTGGTAGAAGAAACCTCTGAAACTCCTCAGGTCTGTGTGTGGGTGTGTGTGAATACTTTTCACTGTTGATTCAGTTAAGCTCATTTTCTTCAGTTTTAGTCATTAGTTTTTTAGTTTTCTTTCCGTTTTTAATATGATTATTTACATATTGATTGATTATTGATTGATTGCTGTGTTGGGTCTTATTGCTGTGCGCGGGGGCTACTCTGTTTGTTGCGGTGCGCGGGCTTCTCATTGTGGTGGCTTCTCATTGTGGAGCATGGGCTCTAGGTGTGTGGGCCCAGTAGTTGTGGCTTGTGGGCTCTATTACACAGGCTCAGTAGCTGTGGTGCACGGGCTTATTTGCTCTGCGGCATGTGGGATCATCCGGGACCAAGGCTCAAACCCGTGTCCTCTGCATTGGCAGGCGGATTCTTAACCACTCTGCCACCAGGGAAGTCCCAATGTAATATTTTAAGGCTGTCAATTTCTCTTAGTGCAGTTTAGATGGTTGTATTAGGTGACATTTTCATTATCATTCACTTCTAAATATGTAGTATTTGATTTCTTTTATGGTTTCTTCTTTGACCTATGTGTTATTTAGAAGTATGATTTTTAACTTCCAAATGTTATGTGAATTAAAAAACTTTAAATTTAATTCTCTGCTACTTAAGCTTTTTTTTTTGTTTTTTTTTTTTCCGGTACGTGGGCCTCTGCTGTGGCTTCTCCCGTTGCGGAGCACAGGCTCCGGACGCGCAGGCTCAGCGGCCATAGCTCACGGGCCGAGCTGCTCTGCGGCATGTGGGATCTTCCCGGACCGGGGCACGAACCCGTGTCCCCTGCATCGGCAGGCGGACTCTCAACCACTGCGCCACCAGGGAAGCCCCTCTGCTACTTAAGCTTTTGATGCTGCGTTTATTGACACATTTTATCGAATACTTTGATAGTGTTTGAATGCTATGACACTGAGTCTTAAACGTTTGCTGATATATATTTTATGACCTAGACTTTTTATACATGTTCCATATGTGCTTGAGCACAGTGGACATTTTGTTTAATTTGGGGGTGTAAGGTTCATTTGTATCTCTAAATCATACTTGTTAATTATGTCATTTTAAAAATCTTCACTAATTTTTGTCTCCTTGAGTGTCAATAACATATGTATTGATGTTCCACTGTTCTAGTGGATTTGTCAGTGCTCTCTTTTGTTCTGTCACATATTTTGAGGCTATTTTAATAAAGTTTTGAATTGATTCATCTTTTTGGTAAATTGAGGTAATATATAGTAGCCCTCTTTATCCCTAATACCATTTTTTGTTGTTGTTTGAGCATTTTTATCTTTATTAATATGGCTATTCCAGCTTTGTTTTCCTTAGTATTTGTCTGTATATCTTTTTCTGTCATGTTCAACCTCTCTGTGACTGTATGTTTTAGGTGTGTGTGTCTCTTGTAAACAGCATATATGTGGATTTAACAAAAATGCGATTTGACGGCTTCCCTGGTGGCGCAGTGGTTGAGAGTCCGCCTGCTGATTCAGGGGACGTGGGTTCGTGCCTCAGTCCGGGGAGGTCCCACATGCCGCGGAGCGGCTGGGCCCGTGAGTCATGGCCGCTGAGCCTGCGCGTCCGGAGCCTGTGCTCCGCAACGGGAGAGGCCACAACAGTGAGAGGCCCGTGTACCGCAGAAAAAAAAAAAAAAAAGAATTTCTTTGTTCACTTTCTTGTCCTGCAGACCTTCCTTCTGGAAGCATTTTCCTTCTTTCAGAAGGTCTTTGCCGTGTGACAATTTTACTGTTACGTGTGTTTTTCTTTCTATTTAACCTGCTTGTTATATGCTGTGGTTTCTGAAGCTGTGGATTCATGTACTTCATTAGTTCTAGAGAGTTCTCAGCCATCACCCCTTCTCTTATTGCCTCTGATTCACTCCCCTTCATCTCCCAGGACTCCTGTTAGACATATATTAAATAATCTTATTCTGTCTTCCATATCTTAATTTTCTTCTTTATTTCCCATTGTCATCTCTCTGTGCTGCTCCTTGGTACATTATTCAGATCTCTTTTCCTCCAAAGGAGATCTGTGTTTGCTCCTTTGGGGAGCTAAGGGCTTACCCACCTGGGACCATTCCCACTCTATTTCATGATCCAACTTAATTTAGGAGTTATTTTTGCCCAGAGTTTGTCACCACGTTGCAGTGAATGGCCTCAAATAAGCCACAGCTTCACATGTACTTAGCTCAGTGCTCTGGTTTCAGCTCACTGCCCACCTGCTCAGCCCCTTGCAGCTCTCTTTTACTTCCAAGTCTACACTGTAATGGAATATATTGTGTGCAGGATCTTGTTAGGAAGAAGGTTCCTTCAGATTCTCTAGTCTTTAGTACTGTCAGAAGCAGAAGCTGCAAGATAGGGACTTCCCTGGTGGCGCAGTGGTTAAGAATCCGCCTGCCAATGCAGGGGACATGGGTTCAAGCCCTGGTCTGGGAAGATCCCACATGCTGCAGAGCAATTAAGCCCGTGTGCCACAATTACTGAGCCCGCATGCCATAACTACTGAAGCCCATGTGCCTAGAGCCCATGCTCCACAACAAGAGAAGCCACCGCAATGTGCACCGCCTGTGCACCGCAACGAAGAGTAGCCCCTGCTTGCCTCAACTAGAGAAAGCCCAGGCAGCAATGAAGACCCAGTGCAGCCAAAACATAAATAAATTAAATACAAAACAAAACAAAACTGCAAGATACTATTTTTCACCAATCAAGTCAGTAAAAGTTTTAAAAACAATAAAAATCTCGGTGTGTTCAGAGTAGTAAACAAGTCTTCTACATTGGTGATAGGGGTATAAATGGGTACAATCTTCTACAGAAGCAGTTTAGCAATATATAAGAGCCTTAAAAAGGAAGGAGGATATTTTAAATGTTAATTGTGATTGTCTGATTGTGGGCTTTATATATGGTTGTTTTTTAAGTAGTTTTGAATGTTTTCCAGGAGTCTACATTGTTGTCACATACCTAGTAATTTCTCTTAGTTGACCCTATCATCTAAGGAGGTAAAAGTAACCTGAAGTTTTTTCTATGGAGATTTTTATGGTGATATTTGTAGTTGGAAAAATTTATAAACCACTTCTGTTTTATTCACTATGCTATCCCCAACTCTTACAGCAATGCCGGCCACAAAAGGGTGCCCCCAAACTGTTGAATGAATAAATAAGAATGTTTCAGTTTTGTAAACTTGGGTTATGGGCTGTTGAAAGAGTTCCCATCTTGATGTGGGTTCCCATCTACTTTCTTTTCAGTTGATAGTCTGAATTAGTTGGGAACCTAGGAAGAAGTCAGATCATATAAATCAGATTCCTTGCATTTTCATAGTTGGGCCAGCGAGTTCTCACTTCGAGGAAAGAGCTCTATTTAATGGCTCTCCTGAACTCTCTGTTAGAACTTGGTAGAAGCTGAAAAGAAGCTATCACCTTTCCTGAGATAGTAGCCTTTTCCCTTTGGGGTGGCCCAGAGGGCTTCTCTGAGGAGATAATAGAAAATAAATATCATGGGGTCCAGGTGCTTTTATTTCCTTTAACATTAGAAAATGAACAAAAATAAAGCACGTGGGGCTTCCCTGGTGGCGCAGTGGTTGAGAGTCCGCCTGCCGATGCAGGGGACACGGGTTCGTGCCCTGGTCCGGGAAGATCCCACATGCTGCGGAGTGGCTGGGCCCGTGAGCCATGGCCGCTGAGCCTGCGCATCCGGGGCCTGTGCTCCGCAACGGAAGAGGCCACAACAGTGAGAGTCCCGCGTAAAACAAACAAACAAACAAAATAAAGCACGTGGATGAATAGTGAAATCTAACGGATTTAAGGGGGAGAATGAGGGTACAGCAAAGGCCTGGCTTGGGAGAACCTGAGGGGTTGATACTCGATTTTCTGGAAGACCTGTTAATGAAATTCTTTAAAAAGTGAAATTTCTTGAAAGTCTAGGGAGTAGACTTAATCTCCCAGAATGGAAAGCAGGGTAGGGATGTTCTGCATATTCTGTTCTGGACTAGAGAGGACTTAATACTGCAGAAGGGAAGGAGACAATACAGTTACATGAGAGCAGAAACCCGCAAGCAATCTGGTCATTGTCAGAAAGTGTCAGACTCACAGTCTGGGACCCCCGCCCTTTAGCTGGCAGACGTTAGAGCAACTAGATAGAGAGTGAAGGTTGTGCGTTATGCTCCCCTTGGTTGAATAAATCTGTTGGGCTTATTGTTTCCTTTTTCTTGGTCCTGTGAACAGATATTGCCAGTGAATTCAAAGAGCAGTTACAGACACTGATACCATATGTATTAAACCCAGCTAACTTAATGGAAAAGGAGATCAATGGCTCGAAAGTCACCTGTCGGGGGCTATTGGAATATTTTAAGGTAAATGTGGGTTTTAATTCTTAAAATGTTTGACCTTTGGTTAAACTGATCTAGGTTATAAACTAACTTGGTTTCAATATTTTAAAGCCTGGGGGAAAATTTCAAGGGGGAGATGGTGAGAGGCGTTTTGAGAGACTCCGGTGTCCTCCCAGGAGTGGGCCACTGGGTGGCAGTATCGGTCTAAGAACCAAATGGATGTTGTTTGCACTCTCTTAGAGGAGTAATTACTGTGGCTAAAGGAAGATTGTTCCTCAAGGAAGATGGTGTGGACAGGAGGTGGTTAGGAAGTTGCTGTGAGTAGGAGGAGACGGCACCTAGATGTGACACGACTACCTCAAGGCGGATGGTCACTCTGCCCACAGGTAGTGGTGAGGCCAGTGTGCATGGGGAGCCTGGTGGGAGTCCTAGACTTGTGCTGCTTTGAGAATATTTTCAGTTAACTAAAAAATGCTAACATGCACTCAAAGGTGTGCTGTGTTTTTGCTAATTCCTGGGTGTTGATCTAGGTCTTTAGGAAAATGCAATTGTATGGTCACTGTTTGTAAAAATCAAAGTCCAGTTAAATATGACAGAATGGCATTTTTCATAATTGTTTTTATGTTTATATTCTAAGGCATATATTAAAATTTACCAAGGAGAAGATCTGCCTCACCCCAAATCCATGCTTCAGGTAAGCAGTTCTTTGGCATCCTAAATGATATCCTTTGATTACTTGAATTGACCCGTATACAGTAAGCAGAGTCCTTTAAGAAGAGAATGCTGTTGGTCCCCCCCCCCCCTTTTCATTATGCTGAGGTCCATTCATGTTTAGCACATTTTCCAGCAGTGTGACTCCCTTCTGGTTTTCTTGTCTGTATTCATGCTGGTGAAGTTAGAACAGAATGGCTTCTTGCTGGGCCTGGTCTTCCCCCAAAACATACTGTGGAAAACAGGTTAAACATACCCAGTTCTGTTAGACAAATCATTTTCCTGTTACCTGTTGTCTCTTTTCATAGAACATGTCCAACGTATCTAAATATTTCCTGTTTACTAATCAGGTTTTTAATTTGCAAATAGTTTTATTTCCAACATTTTGATGTTTCCAAGATGTCATTTTGTTAAAACATATAATTTCTGACTTTCATGTGCTGAAGATAAGGCCATTTATTGCCAAATCTTTATTTATATTTATTTATTTATTTATTTACTTTTGGCTGCATTGGGTCTTCATTGCTGTGTGCGGGCTTTCTCTAGTTGCGGTGAGCAGGGGCTACTCTTTGTTGCGGTGCACGGGCTCCTCTTTGCAGTGGCTTCTCTTGTTGTGCAGCACGGGCTCTAGGCGCATGGGCTTCAGTAGTTGTGGTGCATGGGCTCAGTAGTTGTGGCTCATGGGCTGTAGAGTGCAGGCTCAGTAGTTGTGGCACATGGGCTTAGTTGCTCTGTGGCATGTGGGATCTTCCCGCACCAGGGATCAAACCCATGTCCCCTGCATTGGCAGGTGGATTCTTAACCACTGCGCCACCAGGGAAGCCCCAAATGTTTATTTCTTTAGTAGGATAACATTTTCACAAAGGGAGCTAGAGATCGGGATTGATGTTGTAAAGATAAATTTTTCCTCTTCTTTTCTGAGTTAACATCTATTTTTTAACACATAAAATCGAAGCAAAGGAAATACTTTCAGAGGTTTAATTTTATGCTAAAGATTATGTATGAGAACATTTTTTGTTCTCTCTCTTATGTATGAGAACATTTTTTGGCAGAAAATTTGGCAGAAAAGGTATATTTTAATTCATAAATTGGGCTATATGGAAAGCTGAAAAACAGAAGAATAATAAAGAAGGGGGAATGGGGAATAGGGTGAGAGAAAATTTTTACTTGGTTATTTGTGGAAGAACATTAAAAGAGAAAGGATTTATGGTTTGTGCTTTCATTTCTTAAAAGGCCACTGCTGAAGCCAACAATTTAGCAGCTGCAGCCTCTGCCAAGGACATTTACTATAACAACATGGAAGAGGTAGGTGTGCTGGGCAGTTGTCTTATTCTGAAATACCTATAACTGGGCATGTTGCTGACTTCAGAAGTCCAAACTTGATCCCATTTAGTGTATCTTATGATGATGAGGCAACATTCAGGTCTTCCTGCTTATTGGGGCCTTTTAATTATGGCCCTTTCTAATAAGCAAGGCTTTCTTACAGTGTCACAGCTCTCACTAATCAATATCACCCTGGTTACTAAGTGTGCTTTTCTGAGGAATTGAAACCAGACCTCTATTGGTCTTGGTCATCATTTTAAAGTTAATTTCTAATATCTTAAAATATTCTAAGCTTTTCAGTGTTTTCACTTGTTTTATTTGGCATTTGTTTTTGAAGGGTTCTTCACCCTTCACATTGTGTCTTTATTCTTTTTAGGTTTCTGGGGGAGACAAACCTTATTTGTCTCCAGACATTCTAGAGGAGAAGCACTGTGAATTCAAAGAACTTGCTCTGGACCATTTTAAGAAGACAAAAAAGATGGGTGGGAAGGATTTTAGCCTTCGTTACCAGCAGGAGCTGGAGGAGGAGATCAAGGAACTGTATGAGAACTTCTGCAAGCACAATGGTAGCAAGAATGTCTTCAGCACCTTCCGAACCCCTGCAGTGCTCTTCACAGGCATTGTGGCTTTGTACATAGCTTCAGGCCTCACTGGCGTTATTGGTCTTGAGGTGGTGGCCCAGCTGTTCAACTGTATGGTTGGCCTGCTGTTAATAGCTCTTCTCACCTGGGGGTACATCAGGTACTCTGGTCAGTATCGTGAGCTGGGCGGTGCTATCGATTCTGGTGCAGCATATGTATTGGAGCAGGTAAGTGGTGCCAGCTGAGCGGGCTGACGGTTGATAATGGACAGTTACTTGTGCTTATTGTAAAATGTCTCCGTTTGGAAGAGTTCAGTAGTGAAGGAAGGCATGAGAAACTTCCCCTGGCCATTTTTTTTTTTCTAACAGGCGTTACGTTTTATTATCCTTCTTTAGGATATTAATGTTTATTTGTAATATTTTGTTTCCACGCTTAACAACTGCTCTTTAGTGCAAAAAATTTTCCAACTTACATATGTTGTGTCCTTCATGGGAAACTTTTAACTGCGTGTTCATCAGACATAATTCCTGTGTGAGTCTCTCCCCCATCCAAGGTTAGTTTGCTTCACTGAAAGTCACAAGCTTTGAAAAATATGAACTTAACAAACTGTTCTATTTTGAGACCTACTAATGGATGGCGTGTCTTTCACTTAAATCATTCAGTAAGCCAGTGGCTTTTGACATTGACATGATCTCTAGGTTTATAGATCCTTGAGACTCAGCTTTCTCTTTCTGAGTAGCGGGAACATATCAGTTAAGTTAGAAGCTTGTGGTAAAGCCAGGAGAGCTGCCCACCCCTTACCTTCCAGTAAGGTAGCAGAGGCTCAGCTGATGGACTCTCTGGGGAGTTAGCAGCTGCCACAGGGCTCCCCGACCCCTGCATTTTCATTCCCTTATTTTCTATAACATAGTAACAATGTAGACAGAGATTTTCGAAAGTTTGTCTCCAATGGCTTACTCTTTTGATGCTGTGCTGTATTTTATTAACTGACATGTTGAATAAATGGACTTTTGCAGGCCACTTCTCACATTGGTAATTCCACTCAGGCTGCTGTGAGGGATGCAGTTGTTGGGAGACCATCCTTGGATAAAAAAGCTCAGTAGCATCTTAACAAGAGGATCCAACAAGACCCCGGCCAGTCCCTTCTGATTTCTGGGCTTCTGCCACGGCCACAGGTCCAGCTCCCAAGGAACGCAGACCTGGGACCATCTGGAAAGAGCTGAAACACGGCACTAATAAATGAATAGACCTTTCCTGTGGTTTCAAATTCTTAAACACACTTCCATTTCTCTTGGAAGCATTTCTTTTCCTTGCTGGTATAGATCCAAGCCTATGTCTGTCTTCTTATTACTCTCTGCTTTGTGCACTTTATGGGGAAAAAGCTAAAAGAAAAAATGGAAATGCGGTTTTGTCCTTTATGTGCCATTTAGTGCCTTTTAAGGTTGAATCCATGCTTTTGAGGACATAATAGGGAGGGGATTGAGGATAACCACATGAAAGATGCTGTTTTGGTGAATTATCAGTTCTTTTGTACCTTACTCTTTTGAAAAGGATTTTTAAAGTTTACAAAACTTGCAAAAGCTTCAGAACTAAAGACTGACTAAAAATGATGCCATTACACTTTTAAAGTCTTATAATATTAGAGAATTGTTTTTGCCACATAGTATGGAAAAATTATATCGTATTTAACTCTACCGTACACTGAAATTTAAGGTGTGTTTCCTGACAGGCTGGCAGTTTTGTTAGAACATACTCTTTTTTTTTTTTTTGCCTTCGTTCATTCCTATAGCTTCTTTCTAGAAAAGAGGCAAATATGGCTTGAGAAACCAGAGCAGCTTGTAATAAAAGGAATGAGCTTTCATACTTTAAGAAAAAAGCTTGAGTTTAAATGAACCATGTGACCTCTGATAAGTCATTTGAACTTGTGCCTTGGTCAGATTCACTGATTGTAGGTTTATATACATATATGTATTATACATAACACACACAATTGTCATTTGAGAGTTTTTGTTTTTTAGAGTTCTGTATGAGAACGGAACTTTATCAAGGATTAGAGGAAAGACATTTACCAAACATAACTGCCTTTAACTGGCATCCTATTTCATGTGGTTTAGCAGTAAATCAGGTCTTTATCCACAATGTTTATTTGCATTCTCCTATTCACTGTCTAAGATTTTTAATAATGGAGCTAAAACTGTCAGTTTTATTGAATCATCCTTTAACTTTATACATGACTAGTCTGGTAGCTTTAAAATAGCTTTGGCTTAGTAAGGACCAAAGTCCCACCCAAATATGGACATATAATATCTAGAAGTATCTAAGAATTCTTCATTTACCTTGATCATGTGATAAAAAACTTTATCAGTTGCCTTTTCCTTTGGTTTTATAATGGTGAATTGTTGTGGATTTTAAAACTTCATAAAACTTGCCTGCAGGTATTTATATAAACATTCAGGTATGTGAGCCTTAATTCTTAAGATAATTTAACTTTTGCTGTGGGAGGGAGGGAGGTAGGGAGGTTTAGGCAAATTCTGAGGGTAAATTCTTTATACGTGAAGTATGAATGGAAGGTAGAAACAGCCTCTTCTAGCATGTAATCTCTGTCAAAGAATATTTCTCTTGACTGTTTTAACACTTTACCACTCAAGTATTTTTACAAGTTCTGAATTAATTCCAAGTGTTTTATGTATTTTTTCATATTTACATACCATCTTGCCCTGAAGTTCTTGCTGTTTTATTCAACTGTGGTTAAATTCTAGAAAAATTCCAGCTTGTCCTAAAAACTGTTTACTTGCATATCAGTGATACTTAGCTTTATTATCAATAAATTAAAAGCTTAGTTTTGAAATTTTGGTGCATTTTCAGGTGGCCTCTCATCTTCCTGAAGGTTGATACTTATTTGCTAAAGGCCTTACAGATGTTGAGATACTTAGCTTTTAATGCATTTGTGTAAGCACATTTATAGATTTCAGAAAAATTGTCTAGAATTATCCTACTTTTAATGGTGAGAAAGGATGCTGTGTTTAAATTTTATTTTAATACTAAAATATTAGATATTTTAAAATAAAAAATATATGATAATGTATGATTTAATGAAATCTTAGAATTTAGTTACTGTTTAAATCCACCATTTCTGTTTTGATCTTAAAGGAATAACTTTGTTTAATTACCCTGGGGAACCCTTATTTTTTTGTCTTTATCAGTTAACTTATTCTGCCTCTGGAAATTGTTTATAAAATTTTCTCAGTGAGGATTTTTATGAGTTTCCTTTGGCCTCTTTTTTTTTTTTAACAGAAAATTGATGATTTTATATCAGCTTTTCCAATAAAAGGTACATTCTCATTGCTGGCTATAAATAGTCTTGGGGAGGTTTATAACCAGGTTGAAAAGAATGTCTTTTACCCCTTACCTTCCCTCAGCCGTTAGTTTGTGGGTCAGGGACATTACTTAGGACTAAGTTTTTGCTTGGTGTTTGTTGCTCTGCCACTCCTGCCTTTCCATGCAAGCATTTTTAATTTGCACATTCCTAACAGTATATGGGGCACATTCCTATTAACATATAAAATGTTTTCATAATTTTCTATGAAAATACTTCGTTTTAGGAGAGGTTAAATATTGTTAAGTTTTTTGTTTTCTTAATACTTCCAGTTCGTTTCTAAGTAAAAATAATAGAATCAAAATTTTGATTGTTTCACTGAGGTGTGTAGACAAAATGAGGGAAAACTATCATGTATGGTGATAAAACATCCTTAGAGCCATAACCTTATTTTAGCAGTATACCAAGAGATCTGTTTTCCCGCAGAGGTTTATATAGTAACAGCTACTTCATACTTGGTAGAGTTGCCTGTGAGTATTGTTTTTGTTTTACCTGGTTTTTCTTTTTTTTTTTCTCTTTCATGAAGTAAAATGCTTTATGCGAACAAACAGACAAACTGCCTTGTACTGGCAGTGCGTTTCTTTAACAGGTCATACCCAGCGTTCCACCTGGCTTATGAAAATGGTGTCTTGGATAGGGTGAGTTTGGATGAGTATGTATGTATGTATGTATGAGTTACAGAGAAATTAAATAGTTGATTTAAGTCCAGGCAAAAGCGATTAAAAAACAGTTTTATTTTTCCCTAGAGTATTTTTTTTTAAATAATGTAAACTTACATGGACATCTGCATAGAACTATTGAAATGTAATTTAGGATTATTTAGGATGGCTGCCATCTAAGGTCGCAAACATGGGCTGCATCATTCTGGCTTACCTTTAGATCCAACAAAATTTTAGTCAAGAATAAGGGCATGATGAAGACAAGCTTCAGTTCCTAAAACACAAACTATTTGTGTAGGTGGTGTTTTAAAATGACATTCAAAAGCCCATTTGTAAGAGACCATTTTGCATTTGAATCGTTTTCCTTCTGTTAAGTCCTATTGTAGCTATGTTTTGGATAGTGGTTCTCCTCTACCTTGAAGTGCATAAAACTTACCCCTGGGAGGCATATTTAAAGAAATTCAAATTCCCAGCTTTATACCCAGGGATTGCCTCAGTGTGTCTGGGTCTGGGTTGTGGCCCTGGAATCACCACTTTTAAAAACCGCATCACAGGTGGTTCAGAGACCACAGCGAGAGAGACTGCTTGGAGGGATGGGAAAGTGCAATTCAGTATTGTCTGGAGGCAAGTGGATGGCTTTTGCCTGAGGTTCAGAATAGGTGGTCTACTGCCAGATACAATCACTGAGAGTTTACAGTGTTCAGAGTAATAAGGATGCCTTTAGTCTAGAGGATTATCTAAGCTCTGTGAAAATGTTTTTCTAAATTAGGAAGTCCTAGTGCCTTCTCTGAGAGATGAACGTACAAGTATCCTATTTACTACCGGGTGTAATTAGGATTTAAAAAAAAAAACTATTTTGAAAGTTGTGTTTCTTTTAAAAAAACAATTCAGCACTGTGACTTTGAACCTCTAAATCTTTTATGCACAGAAAACCTTAAGCCTAAGTAAAAATGAACGAAAAGGAAGGAGAAGATCATAACTGAAAATTAGCCACAAAATAGCCCTTACCAGGGACTTTCAAGATAGATGTAAGGGCAGAAAGATTTTAGAAGAAATTTTTCTTCCTGGGAAAGGCATTTCAGGTGCCAGAACTAAGATTTAAATGTAGTGTTTTCATGACCAAGGGAAGGCGGCATTTGATTCCCAAAGTTTCCAATTTCAATGAATAAATGCTATCATGGACTTAAGCCTTAAAGGAGTTAATATTAATTTTGAGCATATATAGAATTTCCTCTCTGACTTCTTTTTCTTCAAAAAAAAAGATGTTCAAAGCACTTTCTTTCTCCTAGACCCTTTCTGAATGGCTTTAAAATTTAATATACTTTTTAAAAAGTGCAATGGATTAGATTATGCTATTAGTATATTAAAAGCTTGTTTCTGTTTCTTAGTTTTAAGGTCATTTAATGGAATAAAGATCACAGCACCATGTTACTTGTGTTTCTTCTTTCTCTGTTCTTTAACATGGGAGGATCTGTGAAGTACATTTGGGCTTGGCAAAGCAAATAGGATCTCTAAGGGGATGAAAACTTGGGTCAAAGGCGCAGTGGTCATGCGGTTTGAGTTGAGTCAGCTTTCTCTGTCCTGCAAAACAATACTGAACTAGTATCTTACTAGCATAATGCTGGAGCAAGCTGTGCTGTCGGAGGTATTGGGTAAAATGGAGCTAACTGGTTAATGGTTCCTTGTTGGGAGTGGGGTGAGGTAAAGAAAGCTCTACTGAAAGCTTTCCCTTTCACTGACGACCTTGGAGGCAGTGGGGAAGTTGGTTTGAACTTCTCAAATATTGACTAATCACTTTACATACCCAATTTAGCCCTACAATAAAAAGATTTATTTCCTAGTTTGAAACATACACTGGGTGGGGTCAGTAGCCTCCATCCCTCCATTCATCCATCCATCCCTGATGGTACCAGGCTGGGTGTTGCACTGAGTTCATCGCAGTTTAGTAGGGAAGGGGCAAACTCACAAGTAGATGAGATACGAAGAGTATGGGGAGTGATGATTCCTCCGTCACCGTAGGCTGGGGGGAAGGAAGGACCAGGGTGGGAAAAGTGGTCATGTGGGGTGGGGGGAGAGACGTCAAGCAAACTGTGGCTTGTCTTTGGTGCATTGGCATTGTTGCCTTTGATGACCATAAACAGTTTGCCAAAGATAAAGTCCAACTCTAACTAGCTTAATAACTAAAAAAATAGAATTGTAACTAGGAAAAAGTTTCTTATAATTGGCTGTCTAGAAGTTAAGCTAGCATGAGGCCCTGGAAGAACTCAAATGTCAACAGGACTATTATCTCCTGTATGCAGTGGCTACATTATTTGCTCTTGCAGATAGATCTCCATGCTGCCGGGGAGGGCAGGAACACATGGCTCCAGGCTTATATCATCTCTTTTAAGTCCCCAGAGGAAAGAGGCTTTTTGACCCACTGCCTATTCAAAAATGTGTATTTATGTATATATATATATACACACACACCTCCATCCTAGAGAAAGATTCTGACTGGTCTCTGGCTTGGGTCATATGCTCCTTCCAGGGCCACTGCCTAACCTGAGGGCTGGGGCGTGATAACCAGCCATATGTAGGTCACATGTGTCCCTACTCAGGGTGATGGGGGTACTGTGATTGGCGGCTCCACCAGAACTACATGGAGTCACCAGATGAGAGACTGCTGGACAAAAACGAATGTCCACTGCAGTTTTCAGTTCCCCAGACTGGCCATTTAACAAGCTAGTGGAATGAGAGCCTGCAACATCTCGGGAATGTGCTTTTAAGGGGAAATAGACGTGGTGATGTGCATTTATGCAGTGGAAGCTCTTCAGGGCCTCTCGAGGGGTTTATTCTCACCTCTTCAGTGGGGTTTGAGGGGTTGCAGAGATAGGCAATTCACAAGGAAGTTATACTTCACTTTCCTTTCACAAAAGCCTGATTTTTCCAGCCAGGACGAACTGTCAAAATTGGTATATTCACAAAGCCTGCCCAGAGTGGCCTGGATACACGTAAAAAGCCTGCATTCTCTTGGCCGATGGAGCACCTTTCCCCTGAGGGGTGCTCCAGGTTTGAGTTGCTGTTAAGTGTCAGAGCCCTCATGTTATGAAATGCTCCTGCTATGGATTCTGCTCCCTTAGATGCGGTTTGCTGCCCACTCTTCCTACCCCCTCCCTTTCCTCTTGGCCTGGCCTTGATACTCGTACCCGCCCCCCACCTGCTCAGAATCCCACAGGGTCTCTTAGGCCTGCTCGGCATTTAGCCTTGTGCCGTTTCCTCTCACTTCCTCAGTTACTTCTTCCTCAGAGGCAGCACGACAATGGATCTCATGGAGGAGGAGAACTATCAGAAGGCAGAGAATGGAGAGATTGCAAATAATTAAAAATTAATATTTTCCACCTGTCACAAGAAGAGTAACGGGGCTCCACATCTGGTTGCAGAAAAGACTGCAGGCTTCGTAGGCAGATAGCAGTTTGATCCTGGCTGTTTTAATCTTGGCTCTCCACCCAAATCGTTGTTTTGGACTTGGAATGGGGCTTAAGGGCAGACTATCTTGCTGGGGATGATGGTGGCATCACATGGTATCTTCTCTTGGGGGTTTTCTTACAGAGCTCCACTTTTGAGAGCTGTGTGAAAGGTCAAAATCACTTCCTTGACATCCCCGCCCCTCAGTGTTCTTTTTATTTTGTTTTTCCTGGCACAGCAACAGGAAAAAAAAAAAAAAAAGGGAGGGAGGAAGGAAGGAAGGAAGAATAAGAAAGTAAAGGAAGTGACATCTGGGCAATACTGAAAGCAGAGGGTAAGAAGAGGCAGAATCAGTGTGGTTTCCTCAAAGCCGAACCTTTCCATCCTGGGTTTGACTGCCTTACAGGTAGTCTCTTGCTCCATACACATAGCAACTTGTTGAGTGAGTCGTAATACACATAAAGCTCTGGTGTTTATTTACAGCGCCTCTTGCCGGGAAGCTGGTGGGTAACGTGATGTTGATGAGCACGTTCCTTCTTGCTGTTAACAACAGCCAACGGTCCCGAGTAAGAACTTGCCCCGTGCCAGACATCGGGCTCCCACTTTATAAGCCTCATTTCATCTGCTGCTTTCCCTTTGGGGAATGTATTTTTTATATTATCTTATATATTGTACAATATCATCACCACTCCACTGGCAGATGAACAAACAGGCTGAGAGAGGGAAGGGTGCCCTGGACCCTGTAGGTAGCCAGGGACAGGATTTGGCCCATGCGTCCCGATTCCAAGCTCAGTGCTGGCGGGACAGAGCAGGAGAATAGAGATGAAGAGGAGCTGCTTCTACCCTTTAGGAGTCACAGATCACTGCACAGGAAGGGCCTGTCTTTGGTCACTCGTTCACTCATTGATTCATTGATCCATTCATTCATTCATGGAATACCTACTGTGTACCAGGTGGGTGCCAAGTTTTGGGGATATCTAATGGCTTAAGACCCAATAGTTAAAAGTACTTTCTCTCCGGTATGCCCTTGCCTTTAAATGGCTTTAAAGCTTAATATACAGTAGCCCCCCCCTTTTCCTAGGGGCATACGTTCCAAGGCCCCCAGCAGATGTCTGAAACCGTAGGAAGTACGCAACCGTTAAGATAGTCCCCGCTTATCCACAGTGTTGTCTCCTTGTTTGTTACTCAGTGGACTGCAGAAAAAGAAACCGCGGATAACGGGGGCCTATTGTAGTTTTAAACTACAGCATAAGCCCACTGGAGTGGAGGAAATGAGCAGATTGATGACACTCCAGTGTGATGTGTATACAAGATCTTAAGTTGAGCTGGCCGCAGCGCGTGCGTAGCCGAGGTGAGGAGGCGGTGGCCCTGCGCTGGGTTCTGGAGGCGCCTCCGCGCAGGGGAGGGCGTGCTGAGAGGCTGCGGGGTGAGCGGGGAGCGTCCTGGTATGTCTGGTATGTCTGCCCCAGAGGCTGGAGCAGGCTGTCACTGTCGCCGGGGCAGGGAGCTCTGCGAGGCTCTAATTAGTCAGTCTCACGGGGAGGGGCCAGTTGACCTCACGCTGGCCTGGACTCTGCGGCCATTTAGCCGGTTCCCTTTTCAGTGGAGGCCGCGCTGCATTCCAAGTCCTCGAGGTGGGGGGAGCGGTACTTCCCGGAACTTGAGGAAGGGTGAGACGCTTGCGGGGGCTCTCAGGTGTTACAGGCTGTGTGGGAGATGGAGAGCTTGGGTGAGGCGGGAGTAAACAAGTTAGGGAGCCGCTGAGGGCAGCGGCCGGGGACGGAGGGCCCGGCGCGAGGGCGGCCCCGCTGACTCTCTGGGGGCGCAGCGCGCCCTGGTAGGTGACACGGCTCGCGCTCCCCGCCGCTGCGCCGCCCGGCTCTCCGGTATCAGGTGTACCTCCCTGGCCCCTGCAAGGGATTCATCCGTTCACGGCCAAGTGCAGGGGCAGGGAGGGGGCCGGTGAGGAATTCGCAGGGAGTGAGCCCGTTGTTCTCGGAGGGGTTAGAGACCAACCGGGCACGGTCTCCCCCGCCAGAAGCCACAGTCCCCTGGGGTCTTGGGGACTCTGTTTCCTGCTACTGACAATGAATCCCTGCTCCCCCGCTGCCTCAGGCGTTTACTCAGCTGATAAAGCCAACTCCAGCGTGAAATTGAGGGCCTCCATTACCGAAGGAGATGCGCGCGCCCGTGGTAAGTTGAGTGGGGGGCGAGTGGGCTGGGAGTGGGGGCCGTGTTTCGGTGGGTCTGAGTCATCACTTACGAGAGAGAGGGTCCTTGAGGATGTGGCCTCCAGATGTGGATGCCCCACTGGCCGGTGGGCATCAGGTGTGAGATGCGCGTCGGTGGGTATCCGTTGGAGTTGTCTCAGTGTGAGTACCTGCGTGGGCGGGTTGGGAGGCCGCCCTGCCTGAAACAGGCCCCCAGAAGCGGGGAGGCAGCAAGGAGAGATTTGCCCCGCCAAGGTCCTGTGCTGCCTTCCCGAGTCAGACCAGAACACCTGGGTGGGCTCCTGGGGCTGAGTGTCTGGGGCTGCACCTGCTGCCCCCTGAGCCTGGGTCTGACAACAGGTGATTCTTCCGGCCTCAGCTGATGCACCTCATGACCAGCCCTGCCAGCAAGTTCCCAACTCTCACCTTTCCTATGGTTCAGAAATCATAAAGGTGCTTAGCAAATGCTTCCTTTCAGCCTAGCTGGACCTGCTCCAGAGAGGTTCTGAGCCCGGCTTTTGAGGTAGACTCCCCCCGGGACTGTGTTCCTGCTGAGCACCTAGCTGTGGCACTTTGACCAAGTTTCAAATCAACTCTCTTCCCCAGAGTGAGGATTATATGACTTAATACTTACGAAGTGCTCAGAACATTATGTGCTCAACTGTAATTCATTGTTATTATGACTACGATTTAATCCATGTAAAGGGCTTAGCACACTGCCCGGTATTAGGGTGTACCTGGAATATTTGACGTCTGGAGTGGTCATTTGAAAACATC